CTTAAACTGGTTGCACAAAGTAATTCTGTGGGTATGGCAGTCAACCATGCTCCAAGCTTGCATTCGCAGTGGGCTCGTTGGATGCATTCAGACCTTGCTACGGCTGTAACATTGTGCTCGAACTTCACGTGGTGCAAATCTGGGCAGCACAAAACCATATTTTCAGATTCGGGTCCAAAAACAGTAAAATAACAATAATAATAATACAAAGAGACTGGAGGAGCCCCCAAGTTGAGGATCCCTGCCAAGCTGACTTGCGTCCTCCGCGTGCTTTCTTCGACGACGGTGCCGATCTTTCTCCTGCACATGCGAACGGGACCCCTTCTTTTGGCGTGCAAATTATGGCGGCCTGGAGGTTTTTTTGCGACTGACGTTTGAGTGTTTTGGGGGCTCACTTCCGAAACAAAGCAGTGGACTGGCCAAGAAAGGAGCCAAACGATGTGCTTGCCACTAAAATGGTCTTTCCAACAAGTTTAAAGTCCGGGAACTCGGGTCAAAAGGGCCAACGTAACAAATAGAACCTGTGTTCTACGTGGATTTTTGCGGGTGCTCAACGGAGGGTCTGGATCTTTGCCTGTTCAAAACCATGCCATTTTGGCTTCCTTGCGGCAATAAATCAAAAGCTTCCGCCGAACGTTGACCCCAGAGATCTGGGCTAGGAAATCCTTCGCCTTTTCGGAGACGCCCTACAAATCCGCCAGGCTTATTCATGTGGGGTTGACTACAGGGCCCATGTTTCGCCTTCGCATCCCCGACTCAGCGCGTTCCAAAAGAATCCACATAAAGAGCTCTGGGAAGGGCTAAAAGCAAAACCGAAAGCAACACCAAGCACGAGGCATCGCCAAGTGTGAGACACACCATGCGAAAAACAAAAACAACAACTGGGAAATCGAAGGGACTTTTGGACAGGAATATGCTCAAAGTGCGCTTGCAGTTTTCTTGCAGGATGCACCTTCGATTATGTTGCTTGCCTCTTGTTGCATGACAACAACGCACACACAAAAGGCCACTTGAAATCAGCGGGGCCAAGCTGAATGGTTTTCACTGATTGGGTGCCCCATTCTATGTAACAAAAAAAAAACAAAACCATGTCACATTCCTTTTTGGGATGCGACAAAGACGCATTGTCCAGCGATTGGAAGCGAGTTGTTGCCCATTGACTTCGGGTTGGGAACTTGAAGGGCACCGTTCTCCGTCGATTTGCTTTGGACTGACGTCCCCTCGCGGTTTCCTGACGTCCATCGTTGCTCTTGCGCCTTCTTCTCGACCTCATGTTGAAAACTGCATGCGGTGGACGTCGGACCCTACCCTCAGGTAGGAAATTACTACTCAGAATTTCCAGCCACTCCACGTACGTGATATATACCGACACTTACGCCAAATGCCCCAAATGTTGGTGTATATTGCGTACATGGATTGTCCTGGATTCACAAACCGAACATACAGGATCAGATCCCTCCAAGTCACGTCCTCATCATTTGCCCAAATCTGCGAAACGAGCGGCGGATCATCCAAATGGGGTGCCAGGCTGGCTGGCAAAAGCTCCGAATGCAGCGATGTTTTTCCGAGAGTTCGGCGATTAAGGGTTCCAAGCCATTTTGTACTCTCGCTTCCTGAGTCGATGGGCCAAAGTAACCTGGGCTGCCCTCAGATCCCCCGCGAAAAGTTTAACTTGTAGTGGGTTAAATGCAAACTACCACTAAACACCAAAAGGCTATAAAGCTAAGGCCCCGGATGGCTGGGAGCCACCAAGTAACATGGCCTTCCGAAAAGTTGAATGTCCATGAACTCAGGGAGTACTGCGTTTCTGCAGCGCAGCCAAGCAATTCAGCAAGGCTTCCAAACACAGGCTGAGCTGCGGTCAAACCGCTTGGCTAGGGAGCCGCGCTTCTTCGGCTTGTCTGCCACCTGCATTTCGCATCGCATTTCGATGGACCGAGAACTGGTGCAGTGGTAAAAAGGAGTCCGGGAGTCTCCGAGTCTGACCCACAAAAATGGGGGTCATGACCCGAATCTTTTTGTTTTGGGTAATGAGCAACCATTTTGCAAGTGGAGAAGGAGACTCCAGGTACTTCCTCACAAGGGGCCACTGTTCCTGCAATGGGAAACATGTATGAGCTACGGAAGTTGGTTATATAAATGGTTGAATGTGACACAATGTGACCCCACCTTGGTTCTTCAACCCACCCCTTTGGACTCGTTGACCTCGTCTGACCTAGCGTAACGTCGCAGGTGCTTGTGATCTTGACTACCTATATGTCATGTTCCTAGCTTGTTTGGGTGCTCGTACTTGTCTTTCTTTTCTTTTTTTAAACCTAATTCAGCGCATGCTACCAAAAGATGTTGCCGCCCCGGCCTTTACTGAAGTCTATCGGAAGAGGGCAACTCTTTCCAAGACTCAGATGCCCAGAGGCATCTAGGAAAATAGGACACCCTTTCTCTGGTTGGTTCAGGTTTAAGGAATCGGAACCCTTCCCAAAAAGAAAGTTGAAAGGGCGGAATCCACTGGGCTAGGTCTAAGGTGCGGGGCAAAAGCCCAGGCAGCCCCGTTTCCTCGAGCGGCCCGCATGAAGTTAGGGACCGGTGCTGTGCCCTGGCCTTCTTCCTTCCGGGCCTTGTCAAAAGAACCTGCAGTCTCCTTCTGACCCTTGAAACATGGGGTCATAACCCCTTTGATTTGGATAATGGCCGCATTTTTTAAGGGTCAGAAGGAGACTCCAGCCAAAACGACTTCATTGCATTTTTTTCTGGATTTGAGGTGGGATGCGGCCAGGATCCAAGCTCTTCGGTCAACCAGTCCCTATTGCAATTGGGAGCAGGTAGTATTTATATAAATTTACGCAGTTATATACACGCAGTATTTGGATTGGACGCCGAAGGTGATGACCCCCCCAAAAGAATCTGAAGGTAGACCCCCGTCCATCCGGAGAACCCAATCTAGAGACCCTTGCAAGCGGCCCTTGCAAGCGGCCCTGTTGAATGTGCTTTGTGCTACTAGGCAAACCACCTATATGCAACCAGGCCTTTTCAATGTGTTTTATTTTGGTTGACGTTGGAAGGGGAGCACCAATTCTTGTTTTTTTTGCAGTTACGTGGTTGGATTTCAACACACCAAACCACCATGTGCGCCAAAAAAATGCAAAAGAAAAATGCAACTCCCAACAACAACCATGTTGTGGTACTAGTGCTATCCCTGATCATTGGTTCCTCCAGTTCGAAAGTCCAAACAGGAAAAAGAACACCGAGTCATCTAAGGCTCAGCTCAGGATGCTGGCACAGGCCTGGACACTTTGGGCTCTCCGGAAATAGTTTCTATGCCACCTTCCCATCTTGGTTCCAGATCGTTTGGGTCCAGTTGGCTTCGTGCCTTAGGTCGGTCCCTTTTTGAAGGGTAACACCTCCATGTTCTTTTTCGGCTCACAGGGACACCCCCTTTAGGATGAAACCAGGGCTTGGGAACCCGTCCTTTCCATGCCACTGGAAAGAGGGACCCTGCAGTTTGCCCCGAAACCACAAACAAAAACATGTTTGGCTTTCGGTGAGAATGACACCCTCATGAACCCTGATGGGCTCAAAAAAGTGAACAGCTCGTTAGTGGCCACTAAAATGGCCAAGCATTTATGAGGTCCAGAGAGTGAGGCATTTCAGACAGACCCATTTTAGGCAAACGCGGCTCCAGAGACGCCTTTTTGGGCCGCGCGGCAGATCAAAGGCTTGCTTCGCAAGCAGCGCAACCAGCCCTGGACGGATTCTCTCAATGTGATTGAATGAGGTTGGTTGCTTCCCACTTCGGTGATACACAGGCACCTCCCGTTTTTCTGTAAAATCGCTCATTTAGTTGAAGGATGTCCATTGGCATCGCAGAAAAGTGATTGCCCTTCCCACAACCATGCTCAATAGCTCGTTCGTTTGCGTTGCAAAAAACCCGATCGCCAGAAGGAAATACATGTGCCGGGTGAAGGTTCTGCCCTTACGGGTGGGCCATCCTTCGTCTTGTCATGGCCAAGTTTACATAAGATCCGCCCCCTTACTGACCTGGGAAGTCGGTCCATATGTCTTATTGAAGTGGAAACCCCAAGGAAGCATGGGTCAGGTCACAAACCAAAAGAATCAAAGGTCGTCAAAAATTGACCTAAATTGACATTTGGCAACCGTGAAGTGGGCTCTTCTTGGAGGGTACCCCTTTTTGTTAGTGTTCTAAAGGAAAGCCAACAGGACAATCACATAGGGGGTCCCAAAAAAAGACACACCCAAATGCGCAGTATATCCATTGTTTCGCTTTTGGGCTAAGAAGGCGACAACACGTATCCCAACTCCACTCAGCAGCGTCTGCTTCTGGGCTGACACAGTTTAAGACAAAGCCATATGTCCACTCGATAACTTATTGACTTACATGGCTATGGCAAAACAGAACTGGCTTCATGTTGGCTCCACTCCATTTCTCGCCTGCCATGTTCGCCTCAAATGGTTCCTCACACGTACCGGGAGCAAACCCCTTGTAACGGTCAGGATCATAGCTCTCTCACTAGGAACCCCCTGCTAAGCGAAAATAAAAGGATGGTTTGACGATGACTTGCCCTGAGCAGAAAGCGGGGCTTGCGTGACTACGTGGTGGCTCATCCCCAGCTGCACTTGCAATCAGCAAAACTCATGATTGGTGTTTGACCTCTGTATAACATATTAACATGGGGGTGTGTGAAACTAGAGGGTCTCCCCAAATTGTGTGGTTTCCACAAAAACCAATCTTATACCCTGCTACGAACATCGAATTCGTGGGAGGGTATACCAAATTAATCCTGAAGGAACCTGTCAAGTGCTCCGGGCAAAAGAACGAAGGGTGGGGGCCCCTCCATTGCCCTTGGGCCCATATCTACTTGGCAAACAAATCCCCTTGTTCCCATAAAGGGAAACGGTATGCGGAAGGGTCCCGTATTGTAAAGCACAGCCTCCCCGTACCTGCACTACCTCGCGGGGATCAGTCACCTGCAAATATAAAAATATGTCTGGACTCCCCAGACTTCTCTCAGGAGAATCCGCCTCTTCTGTCCGTCCTCGCTAGGCAAGGAACTGACTGGTTCACAGCTCACTTCTGGACGTCTGTGCCCTTCCTGCGCGTCTTTGGGCAGGAAAGCTTGGCATCAGCCAAGGTGTCCTTCAAGAATAGGTTCAAACTGCCATCTAGTTTCAATCAAACTGACCCCAAACGACACTTTATGAGCATCAGCTCGAACGTGGGAAAGCGTGTCGAACCACTCGGGTGAAGGGGGGGGAGGGCGTCCATTCGCTTCAGGCAAGCACCAGCCGCCAACATGGACCAGTCCAAAATGGACAACAACTTCTATTCGGCTCAAAGCAACATTGATTTGACCCATATGGCAAGATCAGGATCTCCATTAAGCTTTGGACCTCAACGATTGGCTTTTTGAGGCACCAAGATTCTTCGGAAAGCCACTGGAAGCCTTCCGCTAGGATGTCAATCGCCCAGACACTCCTGAAACTTCCATTGGAAGACCCAGACCCTCCGTTGGACACCCCTCTTGGGGTTTTGGGGTCTCAAAACCTGGCCGTTTGGCCCAAAACCGATCGAATTGGAGCGTCTGGGAAAGGACGCATCCAACAAAAACACGACGCCAAAAGACGACGCCAAAAGACGACGCCAACGAAGGAAACGGCCAACACTTCTTCCAACTGGCCACAGTCCCGGACGAAACGGCTCTCCAAATGCCTCGTGACTGGTTGACTGCCCGCAGAAAAATCGGGCAAGGCGTCCAAGCAGAAACCGGATCATTGCAACCCTCTCTACTCTTGGTACGGGCTTGCGAAAAACTGATTGTTTTTTGCAGACCCCCAGTAAAAAATAAAACAGACCCAAAAAACAAAAAACAACATGCCAAGAACAGTGAAGCAACCAATGTTGACCCCGGATGAATAAACCCCCTGTTTCTAAATAGGAGGTGTCCGATTCTAAGTTTAGCGGATATTCAGACCACTTTTGGAGGGCCCCCACCCCCATAATTTCACAAACTTGTTGGTTGATTAATCAGGGGTCAACATTACATCCTCTACTCAGAGGAGTTATGACCATCTCGGAGTGTTGTGGTTTGGATGTATGGCGATACAGGAGCCCCTGCCAACAGCTACTGTGGATTGACAAAATCCTGCACCACTTTGAAACCACGGGAAGCCATTGTTCGTTGGTATTTACAGGGGAATCATCCTTCTAGTGTTTCTTACGTGGTGCGAAATGGATTTCGTCCAGCCACAGTAAGAGGCAGGTTGCTTTTAGATTTCCTTTTGGCTCCCTTCTGACGCACGTGACTTGGCTGTGAGGAGGGCTGGACTCCCCTAATGACACTTCCTGCAAAAAAGAACCACACGCCCCAACGACGGCTTTTTGGCCACGGATTGTGGTAGAACAAAGGCGGTTGTGTGCAGGTTCCTTTTTCCCAGATAGATGAATCCACTCATCCAAGAGGGATGTTTGAACCCATTCTTCCTCGCACCAGTTGTCCTGAAGGGGGCTTGTCAGGCCTGTGAATCGTGAAAAGGCGCTACACTCTTGACAAGGGAGTTCTCACTTCCTGGGTGGCCAAACCAAGTTGTTTACCACTAAAATGGCCTTCCAACATTTAAAGTCCAGGAACTCAAGAAGTGAGATTTGGACAGGACCTCTTGCCAGTCAGATTTTGACTGGAATCAAGAAGCTCCAGGAATAAGAAAGCCCGAAACATCATGTTGACCCAGGATTGATAAACCCGTCTCATTATTAGGGGGGTGTTCCTTCCCAAAGTGGTCTCAATCTCCAGTAAAAGGGGACTCCCCCGTATCTATCAACCAGGGGTTTACTAATCCGGGGTTAACATTACTCCAACGAAACCTGAAAACAACCCGTTGAAACAAACTTCTGTTTCACGTGCACTGCTTCCGTCGGCTTTTCGCACGCCTTCTGCGCCAGAATGGCCAGGGCAATGAAAACCTCGAACGACACGCGCGCGCGGAAAGGCCGACCGGGCAGAACTCTTGGCCACTACAACTCACTTCCGATCGAGTGGATTGGCAAAAGAAAGGCGAAACTTCTTCAAGGTCCTCCAGTAGAGAGGATAAGGGTACCAACTTTTTTGCTGTCCATTTCAGTAGGGGAACCCAAAACCCCAAAAAAGAAACGGTAAAAGTTGGCACCTGGCTGGGAGACCTAGTCTTGTGTACTGAAATGGATTAAACTCCTAGAGAAAAGTGAAGAGTTCATGGGCTCAGGGAGGCAGCACACCCATTTCGCCCGTAAACATCGGCCCAAGGAAAGTCTCTTCAATTGGCAACCGAAACTCCTTGGCTGGAATTAGGACCCCAGCAAAAAAATATTTTTTGCCTGGTGAGTGGAAAACAAAGGGAACCCAACAAAAACAAAGAAAAAAACAAAGCAAAAAGGGGAGCTAATTCTGGGGAAGAAACCTGATGTTTTAAGCCACCCTTTGCGGGATCCTTTTGTGCCGTCTCCAGACCTTCCATACGCTGCCCTAAGCCTTTCTTCTGGCTGGGTTTCCCATGTTTCGGCCACCGCCGATTTGGGTCGCCTGAAATGAGAGCTTGAGATCAATTGCTACAGTTGGGGCCTGCATGTTTGCAACCAACAAAAAATACGGTCATGTGTAAGCCCTTGTTAATTGTCATTGTGTGGGGACTTAGACATTGACCAAGCAAAAATCCTTAGCAAACCTTTGGGTTTTGCGACCTATAAAGGTTCCTCGCTTGGGATCTATTTCGTATTTCCGGCTAGGAGAGAACTGGTCATGACAGTGTTTCGCCTCTTTGTGCCGGTGCCACCACCCCCCTGACCCCCTCCCCCACAAAACAAAAACACACACACACACACACACATGTCTGACGAACTGAGTGGTCCAACCCCCCCCCCCATCAGATCCAGAGTCCTTTCCTTGCATGCCCTGGAAGAATGTCCTGAGGGGGGGGTCCCAGCTGAAAAACTAACATCAAAGCAAGATATGGGTAAGGGTCAAAATGAAACCACCAGGGGGACGGTTTTAGTCCATAGTTCCATTTACCCTTTTCTGCTACCTATTTTTGACCCACAACCATATCCCAAAACGTCCGCCCAAACCAAATCCAGGCCAGCCACTTTGGCTGACTCGCCTTTTGGTCAGCTGCGGCTGTATCCTCCTCGGATGCAGAAAAGGTCACGCGCACTGGGCGAAACAGCCCGGCTGGTCGGAGTTGGATTCCCGGACACACAAGCTTCCCAAAAAAAAAGAATCCCAATGCTTCCAGTCAGGCCACTATAGTAGCTATCAAGGGTTGCTTTTCTCCAGGTTTTACCTTGGATGGTTTCCCCTGGTTAGCTAGAGTGGGTTGCTTGGAAGCACTGGGAATCAACATAAACAGTTCAAACCGGGGTGGCAACACACGCGTTTGGCACTCTATCTTGAAACCCCGCGGGCGTGGGATTCGACTTGACCACACGAAGCCCGAAACCGGCGCCTGCTTCTTTGGGGTACTGCTTGGTGACGTAAAAGGAAACCGAAAGGACAACAACCATTTTGGGGCGTGATGCACCTATATGGCAAGGCGAAATCAGGTGTTGCACCGTGGCAAGACTACGACACCGATGGGACCCTGGGCCTTGACGCGCATTCCTCTTTGGGGGAAAAGTTACCGCCGGTCATTTGGTCACCAGGAATTTTGATCAACCCAATTGAAAGAGACCTTCCATCATGGCCGCGCTTTGGTTTCCCTTTGAAACAAGAAACAAATACAAATACCTTCAACAGCGATGCCGAAACTCAGTTGGCCCCTTTAGGGACCTGGACGTAGGTGAGCACCCAAAAGACCAAACAGGGGAAACCAAAAGGTCGGTTTGGGCCTTAGTGATAACATTGTAACCGAGCTCGCGCTTCCGATCCCCGATTTCATCCATTCAAATGCCCCAGCTTAGGTCTCGAGGAACCCAAACAAACCAGCAACCAACCAACGGGACCTCGGAGAAAAGCCTGAGACAACCCCAGCCCCACACTTTTTAGCCACCCGGAGGCCTCCAGAAAAACCAAATACCTCAAGCCCAAGCAGAACCTCAAGAGGCGGTGGAGCCCATCATACCGTTGAGGATGTTGGTGGACGCCGGATTTGTGGTGAAGTGGAATGCCAAGAACACCCTGGCCATGGCAAACTTCACTGTTGGCTGCGGTATGGTTGCCCGGTTATGCGGAGGTCGGCGGTGATGAGACTGATGGACTTCTTGGATGCCCCGGAGAAGTCAGCGATGGTGTAACTACAGATGAGGAGCGGTGGCGGCAATGGTTTTGAATCTAAGGAATGCCCCCAGCAAACCCCACCCTCTCAAAGAACCCCCCCCCCCCCAAGGACCCCCCAAAAAGACCCTCAAAGCAACTCGCACCCCCAAGGAACCCTGAAAAAACTCCCCAAGCAACCAGCAAGGAACCCCTCCAAGGAATCCCACAAACCACCCGCTTTTTCAAGTAACCAATCGACCCACCAAAAAAAAAAACAAGCAACCCCCCTTCCAAGGAACCCGCAAGGAAGCCCCACCCAAAGAAACCCCCCCCCAAAGCAGCCCCCCCAACTGCAGAGAAAGCCCCACCTTCCAACAAAACCAGCAAAACCCCAACCCCCCCCCCCCCCAAAAAAAAAAAAACACCAAAAAGCCCCCCCCCCCAAGGAGGAAGAGAGCGGCAAGAGCGCCTTCACAGTTGATGCAGGGCGCAGAAGTTCAGGGTTCACCGGTTCAGGGGCTTCACGTGACATTCACGAGTTGAAGCGTGCTCAAGGGTTTCAGGGTTTCAGGCGCAGGTTGCCCAGCCCCTTTTTTTCACTCTGAATGGGTTTCTCCCCACAGGGGGACTTCGCGTCCCACTCACCGAGAGGTCCCTAATTCGCAGCTCATTCGCCTGCGCGAAAGGCTCCTCTCTTCTGACCTTCTCCCGCTCCTCCGCCTTCTCCGCCTGCGTCATCCCGTGCTTTTCCGACGGCTCCGTCGCCTGCAACGAAAGGCTGCCTGCCAACACAAACCATTACTGTTTGGAACGTTGCCTCTAGCAACAAACACATTTGACAGACTTTAGAGGGCGCGCGCGCCTTGTACGCGGCCTCCGCCGCCGCCAGGCACTGCTTTGCCAGCCGCACAGGCGCCGCCGGATTCCGTGGCTTGTCAAAGCCAGTCTTGCGAACGGGAGTTGACACAACCCGCTGCGGCGAAGAACCAAAGAAAAGCTCGGCTCTAGCAACCCTTGCAGTCCTGCCCTCGAACTCTTGCCTGTCAAGTCTTCGACCCCTCAAACTCTCCAAGCACCGTGGACCCTCAAACTCAAAGACTCCTGAACCAAGTCTCAGACACGAAGCCCTCGGGCCTTCCAACTCTTAATCCGTTGGGCCCCTCAAACCTTCAAACTCCCTCGAACCCCCCCAAACCTCAAACTCAAACTCTTCGGCACCCTTCAACCCTCGAACCTTGGACCCTTGAACCCGCAACCTCTTTGGACTTTCAAACCCTCGGGCCCTTGAACCGTCAAACTCTTGGACTCTTAAGCCCTCCGGGCCGGTAAACCCCTCGAACCTTCGAACTCTCAAAGTGGCAGCTCAATCCCTTCGCAACTCCTCCCTCTCCGCGACTTTGCCTAGTCGCAGCCAAATCCTACTCCGCCGGTTCTCGGGTCGGTCCCCCAGTCTACTCCTGTTCCTCCGCGGGCGCGACTTTTCCCCGAAGGCTCTTGAAGCGCGAAGTTGCTAGCAGCCCCTCCTCCGCGAATCGCGCGCTTTGTCGCAGCCGAATCCTCCTCCGCCGGTTCTCAGGTCGGTCGCCCAGCCTACTCCTGTTCTTCCGCGGGCTTCACACTTTTCCTCGAAGGCTCTTGAAAGCGGGAAGTTGCTAGCGGCTGAAACCCTTATCAACTCCTCCTCCTCCGCGAATCGCTCGCTTTGTCGAGGGCACAGTTAAGGCTCGCAGTCAATGCTCTTGCTTTAGAGGGCGCAGATAGGGCTCCTTACAGAGGGCGCAATTAAGGTTCCTGAAAGAGGGCGCAGTCAGGGCTCCCTATCAAAAAATCTTTTCCGTTAAGCAAACTGACGACGTTCCCCCCCAAAAAAAAAGGGCCGACTCTCCCGGGCCCACCCCTGTTCCCTCTTGTTCCAAAGCATTTAAGGACCCAACAGCCAATCCAAGGCGCGTCCCAATCCAAGGCGTGCCCAAGAGGCAACCCAACACGCGCGCCAATCCAAGGCGCGCCCAAGAGACAATTCAAGGCGGCTGGGGGGGAGGGAGCTCGGCGCCCTTTTTGGTTGTCCAGCGGAACTCCCAGCGCCCTTTATATAGGGAGCCTCGACTCCGCCCTCTATAAAGAGCCTGAACTGCGCCCTCTGTAGGAAGCCTTAATTGCGCCCTCTGTAAGGAGCCTTAACTGCGCCTTATGTAGGGGCTCGACTTTCCCCGGGTCCGCCCCTGTTCGCTCTGTTCAGGCGCCGCCCGCGCTTCGTCAACACTTCCCGAGTGTCTTAGAGCTTGCTTCAGGGCCCCGCGGGCCAGCAGATAGAGCAAAGCGTCTCGCAACCCGAGCCCCGAAGCGCGAGGTTTAGGCTGGGCGACTGGCCCGGGTCTTGCATGCCATAACTTTTGGGCAACAACTTTTGTCTGAGATCTTGTTATCTGATTCTACAGTCTATCAGATTTCCAACTGTAAGCGTACATAAATTATTAAGGAAACGATCCCAAATGCAGGAATTAGTAAGACGTAAACTTCTGGATGCAAAAAAACATGTTGAGATAATATTGGAATTCCCACAAATTTTGGACCGAAGAAAAACGTATTAGAACGAGGATCGCCCAACATTAAGAAAGAAGTGTGCCAGATCCAAGGAACTCCCCCCCCCCCAAGGAATCCCCCCAAGCAACCCCCCCAAGGAACCCTAAACCAACGAGAGAACCCCCCCCCAAAAAAAAAACAAGCAACCTCCCAAAAAAAAACAAGGAAGCCCACCAAGCAACCCACCCAAGGAACTCTAAACCCACCAACGACCCCCTCCAAGGAACCCCCCCCCAAAAAAAAACAACCGCAAGAAACCCCACCCCAAGGAACCACAAAAACCGAGCCCATTGCTCGCTCCAAGCGGCGGGAGATGGAGGCGCAGGGAAGAGCCCCGGCGCCAGGTACTCCCCGAGATCGTAAACTAGGACCTGCCATGAACCCCAGCCCTTTCCGGCCAGCCACGAGCGGCAGGTAAGCAGCGCTGGGAACCTTTACTGCTCTAGCTTGGTTGACGTTGGAAGGGGAGCAAAAACTTGAATTTTAGCAGTTAAGTGGTTGGATTTCAACCACTAAACAACAATAATCAAAAATCAAGATATGCTATAGCCATGAACCAAAGAAGAACAAAACTGGACCTAGGTGGGTGGGTGGGTGGGTGGGTGGGTGGGTGGGTGGGTGGGTGGGTGGGGGGGGTGGGGCAGGTGGGGCGGGTGGGGCAGGTGGGGCAGGTGGGGCGGGTGGGGCGGGTGCCGGGTGGGGGGTGGTTGGTTGGTTGGTTGGTTGGTTGGTTGGTTGGTTGGCTGGTTGGTTGGCTGGCTGGTTGGCTGGCTGGCTGGCTGGTTGGTTGGTTAGGGTGGTTGGGTGTCCCCTAAGCGACCAACAGAGACTGATAGAGCCATTGAGGACCAGGGCCATCACCTTTCCACAGCCCCCTTCGCTATTTGATTTTGTTGTGGGTCGAGCACAGACCCAGTTACTCGGTGAATTCTCCTGGGTTTCCCTTTTTGTTCTGAACATTGTTCACCCGAAAAAGGCGTCCCTTTTTCTAGCACAGTGGGGCTGGGCAAGGGGAAAAGCAGCTCTCTCTAGGTGGAGAACCCTGCACAAAGAGCCGTGCCCTCGCTCCCATTGATCTAGCAGAATCACTTTTAAGTAGGCCACTTATCTTTCTGATACAGTAGTCAAAAAAGGACTGCTGGGAGGAATGCTCGGAGATCAAGAGGGATACAGTTGGTTCCATACCCTCCCTCCTAGGCACGTGACAGGGGCTCCATTCAAGAGGACATTGATCCAGGTACCCTCCCACAAATGTTATGCTAGCGGCAGGGCATGGTGAACTGTCCTAAAGGGAATCCTTTCCATGTCGTTGTTGGTGGCATGTCTCCAGCAACCGACAGGGGACTGGCCAAATTCAAATAATTACCCATCACCTGCAAGCCGCAAGGGGCTGCACCCACCCAAAACCTGGACGAATACCGCGGCATGCTTGCTAGGGTGTTGCAGGGCATAGTTGAGAGGTATCCGGATACGACATCCTGGTGTATCCAAAATAAATGTCATGATTGGTATGCCTATATGGTGCTGGGTTGCCGATATGTCCCCTTATGGTTGCATGCATCCACTGGGCCAAGTACAGTGAGGTTTGTTTTGGCGGGTGCTGTTGAAAAAAGAAATCCCGGTCGATGAGAGATTGATGGTGTAAATCACACTTTCCAAGGTTTCTCACACAAGGGGCCTTGTTGAGGGGGGGAGGGGAGGGAAATACACATTGTTAGCACAGAATGCTAGCACAGGAGTCGTGAGCACTGCCCCATTGAATCTTGAAATGGCCAAACCTAGGCAGAGTTTGGTTGATGGCCTACATCAATCGAAGATTCCAAGTTCGGGCCTTGGGCAACATTAAAAGATAAGCAGAAATACGGGTCTCGCTTTTCTTGATGGTAACCCTGTTTTGCTGGTGTCAAAGGGAGAGCAAAAGGAACACCAACATTTGTTGAGGGTGCCCTAAAAACGCACACACACACACACCCATATGTTGCAGCCATTCTTTCGCCCAAACAGCGTCCTGAATTTCCTTCCTGAAAACTCGCAAAGCGTCCCCGAATTGTCCAGAGCTCCGAATTGCAAATGGTTGATCAATATAGCTGGCCCCCAAATGACCATGGGTAACTTTCCCATTAGTGAGAATTATAGTATTTTTATTCAATGGATCATCCCATGTAAAGATTGTAAAGGACCTTTTGATCAACCACCATGTTGCCTGGTAGTTGTCGTCGCCCAGTAGAGGCAGAGATGAGACCAAGCCAGCAGAAAGGGCTTCCCGCAAGAGGGGTAAAGCCTCAGGGCTCACGCTCACTTCCAATCGATTGAATGGGCCAAACATCTAGCCAAGCCGTTTGTTTGTCCCAACAAGTATATAAAGTCCACTAACTCGCGCAGGGAAAGGGAAACAAACCATCGACACCTGGGCAGAACTGTCAAATTTCTCCCCAAATGGGGCCTGAGCTTCCTAGTCTTGTCCCTTTGATAGGTTGACGCAAACACGGACGCCGGAAGGAAGCGCGGCCAAATGCCCGTCCCAACGCACGTGACCACAACAAAGAACAGACCCAGTCAATCAGGAGGGCGTCATTTTCCTGTGAATGTCCAGGTTTCCATTTGCCTAGTGGGATTTCTGGGTCGTTCTGCCTGACTGAAGCCTAACAGTGCGTCTGTCCTTCTCTGGTTGCCAATGCGAAGGAAAAAACTCGATCTACTCTATGAAAGAAGAATATTGATGACAGGGTATGAACCGCAGCGCCTTATTGCCGCTAGAGTAGGTGTAGTCCTTCTTGGAGACACCCACTCAACAAAAACAAGCCAAACATCTCAAAGCCTGGTCAGGAGTTTCGAGCCATTTCCCTTTGTGAGAATCTTGGAAAAGTGACCGTTTCAACGGGCACCACCTGCAAAATGGCAACCTTTTGTAGGGAAAATCTAGCGATCCCTGACAGCAGGCCCCCCCCCCCCCTCCAACAAGAAAACAAACAAACAAACAGCTGTTTCCCTGTTCCAAAATCCCCAAGCGTCGCTGGTCTTAAGACGTGGCTGTGGGTCAGAAATAGGTACCCAAAATGGAACCCTGGTAAATGCAACCAAGGACTAAAACCGGCTGTGCCTTGGTGGCTTAATCTTGACCCATACAAAGAAAGCAAACAGCTTTTTCCCCAACCAAAAGAAACCAAACAGCCTTTTCCCTGGTCCAAACTCCCCAAGCATCGCGGGCTTTCCCAGACGTGTTAAAAGCGAGGTGCCGTGACTGCGCCCCCCAGAAGGCCGTCCGGGGTGATGGAGAAGTCGACCGCCGGCTCCGAGAGAAACGTCAGCGCCACCAGGCCCACGTAGGGATATCCCTCGCGGCCGGGCATTAACCCCGGACCTCCAGCAGCCATGGGGAAACATGTCTTGTTTACGATCAATCTACTGTATATATATATATATATATGTAGAAAAAAAAAAAAACATATCCCCCAAACCCAGGTTTTGTCTGAACCCCCCCCCAAAAAAACAAAACAAAACAAAAAACTGGTCTTGTCTCAAAACACATATTGATAGTAAACAAAATCTCAAAAAGTTACTTTCAAGAAATGAAATAGGCATAACTGACATTTATTGCTTAATGCGTGATGTATTGTGTAATCCATGCTTTGTTTTCAAGAGCACCTTCCAAATCCAGCAAACCAATATCTGGGACACCGGCTTCTCGCAGGCCCTTAGCTTGGCCCCAAGCGTGAAAACTTGTTCAGACACCCTGGAATGATGGTTTCGCCGGTAACGAACAAGCCACGGCTTTAACTTCTTTGAGTCAACCATAGTTTCAATTTGGTGCACCATGGACTTCGTCCAAAGTACAAACTGGTCTTCCAAAGCGCAGCAAGTCTCAGCAAAAGCCCAGTCCTGCGGCGCAGCTTCCAGGGCAACGGCGATAGGCACTGGGCCAAAGACCAGCTCCTGGAGTCTTTGGGTCCAACTTGGTGGGTTTTCGTGCGTTGTTTTGAGTTGCTGCCAACTTTGGTGTTGTTGGTGGTCTTTAGTTTTTTGTTGATACCCTTTTGGGACGTGCTGTGTGTTTTGTTCTTGGTAGCTCGAAAGGAAGCCACAAGGCAACCTCATCTTTGCTGTTCTTTTCTTTTTTTTGGGGGGGAGCCGCGGTTTGACAGACACCAAATACCATTCGAGGATGTTGTTTCAGGTTTCAATGGGGTAAAAGCACCTCAGGAGGTACTAAAGGAGGCTTTGGGCAAGATTCAACAGGGTTTGTAGGGTACAACTTGTCCTAGTTGGGTTTCCCTTGAAACACACACACACAAGGACACACACACAAAGACACACACACAAAGACACACACACACACACTCACACACAACACAACACAACACAACACACAACAGACAACACAGACACAGACACAGACACAGACACAGACACAGACACAGACACAGACACAGACACAGACACAGACAGAGACAGAGACAGAGACACAGACACACACACAAAGACAAAGACAAAGACAAAGACAAACACAAACACAAACAGACAAACACGCAAAAACACAAACACACACACACAGAAAAGAAAAGAAAAAAAAAAAAAAAAAAACGAAAAACACACACAACCACACACACACACACTCACACACGCCCACATAGACACTCACACACACACACACACGCTTACACACTTATCCACGCATTTAGCTCCAAAGATCCAGGCAAATAAATGTTGGGCTACCCTGGGACAGGCAAACTGAAGAAAACCCCCGCGAGCTTTGAAACTCAGTCGTTCTGTTGGTTCCCACGTACCACACACAGGAAGAACAAGAAACAAATGTCAAAGCATAGCCAACCAAGTACTTTCATTATCTTTCATTGGCCCAGTTGCACTGTAGCACGTGGGCAGGTTTCTTGCCATTGCTGAACTGGGTATATTCAACTGGGGACGCTGTGGTGATCACTAGTAAGAATCATTAGGGAAAAAACAACAACTGAGCAGAACACTGATCTGGCAAGCAAGACCTTTACTTGGGGACCTGAGATCCAGTCAGGTTTCTGGGGATACATCAGAGGTCGTAGGCGGCGGTATGGAGTGACCCCCTGCAAAAAGTTGACAACTTTTTGGGGGTTTAGTGGAAAACCCAACTTGATTTCAACCAAAAAGTTAAAGTCTAAAGATCCGTTGCCCAATAGCAGTCAAGACAAGACCTGGCCATCAAAGTTGGGGCGGCTCCAATTTCTTCATGTACCGGCACTGCTGACGCGCTGACGCCGCGGAGACCACAACAAGTCCGGCGGTGGTCCTGTAACATTCACCATCCAAACCTCTGGACAACGCGAACTCCGACCTTCGTGTGGTATTCGCAATGTGGGCCCTACATGACTGTTGCGCAGTGATAGGAGGAGTTTCCATTTCTTCAAATGGGACCCTGTGGAAACCAAAAGCGGGTTATTGCCTAAGGAAAGAACACATTAGAGGTTTGCTGAACCCCCCCCCTGCTATGAATGATATGGCACAAGCGATGGCAACAGCCGCACTGCGGATGTTGCTTGGGTTGGCACAAGAGGGGTTCCAACAGACCTCAAGCGGTGGGATCCGCAACCATATTACATGTTTGATTCCAACGTGCACCCAACACGCATTGACTGGTGGTTCTACTAACACAATATTGCTCAACGGAGTCAGTCTGCGGCAAATTCACCATGGTGCAGACTTCTGCCCACCAGTACGGTTCCGGGCTTATCATGCAACGTATAATTCAACGTATGGTTGGTTTCCTGTTAACCAACTGCCAACATGGAACCCTCAACAAAAACACCAGAAGTCTCCATGACCCGCAAGAAAGAGAGAGGGGCGGGGATCAGTATACCCAAAAGAAAGGGGTCGTGGAATTCCCCATGTTTGATTCGGGTCAGGAGACTCCAGGCGCGACGCTTCCGCCGACTTTTTCCCCAGAATTTCTCCCGCAGGCGCACTCGGAGCTTTGGGAAGATGGAAGTCTTGGAAGAGCGCGCGCTCGCCTTGACCACCACCTGACCGGGGGATGGTTTTGGTAGACCCCCCAAAGCCTGGGACTGGGTTTTGGGGAGGGTGGGAGGAAGGCGGTTTTTTCGCCACCGGGGATAAGAGGGGAACCCGCCAGCGAATGAACGTGCAACCCACCGGAAGGCCGAGAGGAAACGTGTCAATTGCAAAGCTCAGTCCTCGTCCATGTTGCGGTTGATCAACAGGTTCTTTGCATGGGATGACCATGATCATAAGAAATTCTACCCGAAAAAAACATGGGATGACCATTCTCACAAGGGATTCCACCAAAAAAAACATTTTCCCACTAAGTGGAAAGAGTCGCCCATGGTCAAAACTGGGGGGCAGGAGTATTGATCAAGTTCCAGGTGGGTGAAAGCAATGGTCGCCCTAAGCTGCAACAAAAACAAAGGTGCTTCATGGGTGGACTCGCTCATTCGCCGGCGCACATTCTTGAAGCCAAAGTCCCACCTGCTTCCATTTGTTTCAGTCCGGAAAAAGTGAGGAATATCCAGTGATAGATTCCAATACAAACAACAGCCGCACACAATATGGAACGCTAGTAAGTGGGAAACAAACCCTGGCAAGTGGGTATGAACTCAAAACCGGGACAGTTTGGTGGACGTCATTTGGAATTTCTGTCCACCAGCCACGGTTCAGGGGGTTCCCCATTAAATTCATGGCCAAGTGGGACACATGGCCTACCCTTGGTTGACGTTGAAAGGGGAGCAACAATTCTCAAATTTTAGCAGTTGAGTGGTTGAATGTCCCGCTAAACCACAATCAGCAAAAATGCTAGAAATGCAAATCCCAATAACAACCATGTAGGTACCCCCTTCAAATTAACATGACACCCAAGAAGCCACCAGGGGTACCCCCTTGGTTCCTTATGAATATGCACCAGTTGAGAAACCCAAAGCCCAACCATGTACCTTTCAACCGCTAAAAAAAAGCAATCAGCAAAAATGCCAGAAATGCAAATCCCAACAACAACCGTGTAGGTACCCCCTGCAAATTCACATGACACCCCCCTTGGTTCCGTATGAATATGCACCAGTTGAGAAACCCAAAGCCCAGTTATGTACCTAAAGAAGGGGTTCAGAGAAGATTTCTGCGAACATTTGTGGGGGTTGTTGCGCTTTTCAAGCAAGGCATGGCCAGGGGCAGTCGTCGAAATGTACCTTCGGTGACCCTTGGTTTTGACCCAAGCCTCTGAAGCTTTGCCCGAGGAAACCTCCTTCCATCCCGAATCCCCTCGATCCCGCGCCTCGAAGATCCGGTCGGCCACCCACAGGAGGTCAGCCTACATTCCGCCCCCCCCCCCCCCCTCGCAAGAAGCCTCCAAGACAAAGTGTGACCCTGCAATATGTAGAAAACACATACACAAATACAGAGATAACATGTAAACATATTAGGCAGTATGTATATATATATATATATATATATAAATGGTACGCCCCCCGCCCCCCTACTACCCCAATTCTCTGAACAGTATCCACTTGCTTGGAGATGTGTGACAAAACATGGCAAACACAAGAGGGGATGATGCCATCATTATTTTCAAAATTCCGGTATCCACAGCCTGGATCCAAGAACCAAGATTCGTGGGCAACTTTGAGCAATCAATACTCCTGAAATCTAAATACCTGTATAGCTTTCTAAATACCAACATTTAGACCCTGGATCCACGATCCAAGATCTGTGAGGATTTTGGGTGCGAAGTATTATTGGACCCATACTTGTTCCCCCCTGAGATCTTAATACCGCTACTTCCGATTTTGACATACCTGTATTCAGATTTCTATTGACGGGTACTTGAATCCTGGATCCAAGAACCAAGATTTGTGGGGGACAGTTCTGAGAGGAACAGTTCTGACCTACTTCAGGTACTGCAATAGTTTACCTGTATCATGAAAACAACTGTGGGAAAGGCGGTGTCGAAAAGCAAATGCTAAATGCGACCGCGCCACCTCTAGCATCACCACTTGCCTGCGGCAAAGCGCGGCTGGACAGCATCGCATGCAAGCTAGCATCTGCAATATGTCCTTCTTCTGGGTTTGCTTGCTTGCTTGCTTGCTGCTTGTTTGCTTGTTTGTTTGCTTGTTTGTTTGCTTGTTTGTTCGTTTGTTCGTTTGTTCGTTTGTTTGTTTGTTTGTTAAACTGTTTGCTTTGCTTGTTTGCTTGTTTGCTTGCTTGCTTGTTTGTTTGTTTGCTTGTTTGCTTGTTTGTTTGTTTGTTTGATTGTTTGTTTGTTTGTTTGTTTTGTTTTCGTTTATTGCTATCATTGTCTGTATTTCGTGTCGACTTCAAACTGCTGGAACAAGGGTACTTCCAAGCAACACATCCGGAGGCAACAACTTTCAGTCCGGTGAGTCACGACGGTTTGCTGCAAATACATACCAGTCACTGTACGTATGCAAACCAGGTGCCTGATCTACAGGTTCAAATACCTAGAACCTAAAGAAAAGCCACAAATACCTAAAGATGACTCGCTCGAACCTTGATTCGTGCCGCAAATACTTCAAGAACAGCTACATGATTAACACGAATCAATGCAAACCGGCCCCAACAACAATAATTGCCACGATCATTTCTCTTTAAAGCCTACTGTTCGGGTACCCCCCAAATACAAGCTCTTTGCAAGCCTTTCAAAACAGGCTTGCCAGGTATCCAACAGGCTCTGCAAGTGGGGGTGTGCCTGGAAATTCCTTGAAGTCTCACAAACAAAGGGGCAACAGCTCGGAAAAATTGGGTCCTCGAGCAGAGAGGCTAGAATAAGGGTACCTTTTTTTTCTGCAGTCTATTTTAGTAGTTTGGAACCCTCCCCGAAAAAGTTGATAAAAGGGCACTACTGGGGGACCTAGCGGAACTTTCCGTCGAGCGTCGGCCGGCAACTTCCCGGCGGCCGCAGGTCTCGCGCATCCTGCATGGCTTTGGAGAGCGCTTGCGCCGCAGACTCCCGAGGAGTACGCACGGCGTCCAGAACGGGCGGATTCAGCCCGAAAGTGACCTTGGCTGTAAGCTGGCCCTCTGCAAAACACGGGGAACAAGGGGGTCAACTTAAACCAGGGATATCTAGGGACCAGCTTTGAGTACTCACCAAAATCCAATGCCTGTTGGATAAAATTCGGGAAACAATTACTATATACTATATATATATATATTATGTAGCACGCCCGCCAACTGCTACGAGGAAACCAACTCCCCCGCCCACCCACTCATGAAAACGCGCTCACCCCGACCGACTCGGCCGCACCAATGAGTGCGCCTTTTGTTGAGGGTACCATTAATATTGGGTGGCTCAAGTGTGGATGGATTTTTGTCAAAGGGACCCTTAAAACACCAAGCAAACAGGGGCACGCGTTAAAAATTACACACTGTACCCTCCCATCAATCATAGAAGCTGATGATCGGAGGACTTTGGAAAACCACTTTCCTTTCGGGGGAATCCCTGTGATTATACAAATGAGAGGGTAGCTCATTTCCTGAGCGGGCCGCACAAAAGTAGCATTTGTTCTTGGTTGACGTTGGAAGGGGAGCAAACATTTATTTGTTAGCAGTTAAGTGGTTGGATTTCAACCACTGAACCACAATAAGTAAAAATGCTAGAAATGTTTCCCAACGACAACCATGTGTTGTGTGTACCACGAAAAAAGTAGTCCAACCCCCCAAAAAAATCGACAGTCCAAAAACGGAACTCCGGAAGGGAGAGGCTTCTAGACATAGCCCTTGTTGAACCGTGGTTGGGTCATTTCTCCAGGCGTTGTTTTCCAAGGATGCGCTTCAACAATTCAGCCGGAAAACCGAGAGCCACGGTCTCCTCACTTCCTGGCCTGGCCCAAACAAAATCACCCAGCTTCTTGCTTACGAAAAAAATGGCCACCAAACCCAAACAGTGACTGATTCTTTCGTCCAAGTCCGAGTCCCACAACTCGTTGGGAGCGAGCCATCGATCCATTTGGCCACGGGTCAAAAGCCAATCGTACCCCCAGTGAACATCCCAATCCCCACTAAAATAGGGTGCTGAATTCACATACCGACCAAACCGGCATTCCAAAACGGTTTTGACAACCACAGCCATGTAAGTGGGAGACCTTGGGAAGTGAGGCCTTATTTCGGGCTCATGACCTTGGCAGTGAGCCATCGATCCATCGATCGCATCTTGGTACCAAATATTTCGAACAGTGATAGATTCCCTTTAAAACCAGCTGGGCAAAATAAAAATACCGACAAACTACGTAAAAACAAAAAGCAATTGGAAGCTCGGGCGCGAGGAATCCATCCTTTGTTGCTCGGATCCGAGGCGCGTTCTCGAAGGCGATGCTCAGGGCGTCCTGCTCCGTAGCGGTCAAGGTGAAGGTGGCCAGGGTCGCGAGCTCCTCGCCCAAACCGCTCACCGTCTTCTGCAAAGGGGTCCACACCTCGCGCAAAAAGGAGGTTTCTTCGTGTGGTTGAATTGTTTGTGTATTTTTTCTGCGTTTGTTTGTTTTGTTTGTTTGTTGGTTGGTTGGTTTCTTTGTTTGCTTGTTTGTTTGTTGGTTTGTTGGTTGTCTGTCTGTCTGTCTGTCTGTCTGTCTGTCTGTCTGTCTGTCTGTCTGTCTGTCTGTCTGTCTGTCTGTCTGTCTGTCTGTCTGTCTGTCTGTCTGTCTGTCTGTCTGTCTGTCTGTCTGTCTGTCTGTCTGTCTGTCTGTCTGTCTGTCTGTCTGTCTGTCTGTCTGTCTGTCTGTCTGTCTGTCTGTCTGTCTGTCTGTCTGTCTGTCTGTCTGTCTGTCTGTCTGTCTGTCTGTCTGTCTGTCTGTCTGTCTGTCTGTCTGTCTGTCTGTCTGTCTGTCTGTCTGTCTGTCTGTCTGTCTGTCTGTCTGTCTGTCTGTCTGTCTGTCTGTCTGTCTGTCTGTCTGTCTGTCTGTCTGTCTGTCTGTCTGTCTGTCTCTGTTTGTTTGTTTGTTTGTCTCTGTTTGTTTGTTTGTTTGATTGATTGATTTATTGCTTGATTGTTTGTGTGTGTGTTTGTTTTGTGTGTTTGCCTTGTTTTTAATTGGGGGGTGGGGTGGGGGAGTTGGGAATTGGGGGGGGAGGGGTTTGGGAATTGGTGTGCCATGGAGAGTGTCCAAGAAGTGCATGTTGCAGCCAAGAAGTTCCTAAACCCTGGATGAAGCAGGTTGCAAGGTGGGCCCAATAGACTCCACAAGGCGATCGCATGCCATATTTGCGGAGAAAAAAAAGGCACACACGTGAAATCCCCTAACAAATTCAGACTTTCCGGTGAATGTCCATGGGAAAACTGGCCGGTGTTGAGGAATTCCGGACTTTTGGCAGGGAAAAAGGAGCTGGAACCTTGCCAGTGTCCCTGACAAAGTGTTCATGTGTTTTTTTGTCTTTCTCCAGAAGGGCCCCAGCAAACCCATAGCAAAGAGCCACACGAAGCATCCTTTTATTCCATCAACGTCACCCTCGGTAGTAAAGGAGACTACCAATTCCAGTTCTTCCTTTCGATAGCTCCCAGTGAACATGACCCCTGTGTATATGTCAAAATTGAGGAGCCACAAACTGATTGTTTTCCTTCTGGTTCCCTTTCCACCAACCTCACAAAGGGCCCCCTCCTCCGCAAAAAAAAAAAGAAACGTCGACGTCGACGCACGGCGAAGGCGCCGCCCCGAAGAGCAAGTTCAGCCACCGCACGCTCTCCTCCCCTCCGCCGTTGGACACTCCCAAGCCCTGCTCCATCAAGCGCGCCCGGCGCTGCTGCTCCTCCGACACAAAGCTTCCCCATTTCCAGGCAAAAACCCCGCAAAAAAAGAAGAAGAACAAAAACAGGCGGTGTTTGAAAAACCCCGGAAAAAAAGCTGGTTTCCGAAAAACCCCAGGGAAAAAACCTCCGCTGTCTCAAAAAGAAGGATGGTTGAAAAGAATGGTTGGAATCAACCCCTAGAATTGTGGATTCCCCAAGGGGCAGTTGAGAGCCCGTTTCGGGTTTTTCAGGGTTCCCTAGATTTCCTTGAGGCAGCCTTCAGGAACCCCTCCGCTTTACACCACCCTCCCTCAAAGATTCCAAAATAGAATCAACAGGGGTTTTGAGAAAGAAAAAACAACAACTAGCGAGCCCTTAAAAGAAACACCAGGGATGATTCAGTCCTCAAAGGGTACCAAGAAACCCCTGTGCCGATTTTCAGTTGTGCCAACGGGGTCTAGCAATAACTGAAAAGTATAAATCTCGCTTGTGTTTGCGGAAATTTAAAATTATGTGCTAAATAGCGCATCCAGCTATGATTCAGTTAATTATGAGAATCTAGAGGGGTCTTACCACATCTTTCGTAAACATATTAGCACAGCCACCTAAATCCCAATAGGGTATTGGGCGCCTATATGGAAGGGCGTGAGCATTTTGTGCCGGTTGGGAACTCTGGACCGAAATCGACAGCCTAGTCCATTCCCAAGGGCGGTCTTTCATCTTCCAAAAGTCCCATCCCAAATCCCCAAAATTTCCTGGCACACATTAAAAGCTACAGTTGGGTGAAAGTTGGCACAATCCGACCCACAAGGATAATGTGCCATCTACCAACTCACCATGAGGAAACCGATTCTCCAAGTTACCGTGATGTACCATGGTTTGTGACTTGGTTTACTTGCAGTTTTGAGGGCAACCCCCTGTTTCTTTGGTACCGCCAAATCGAGGTTTGCCCGAATAGTGAGAGGCACTGGGAAGTGAAGCACCCACGCTAAGTTGGATGTTTCTCAAAACTACAGTAGGTTTCCTGTTGATTTCCCTTTAAAACCATCCAAAAATGGTTCCCTATTCCGAGATACAATTCGAACTCCTCAAAAGAAACGGTGTTCCGTTGATGGCCGGCCACAAACGGATCCACCCCCCAGGTTAAATAAGCCGTGGACAGAGTATGATGGTTCCGTGAAGCACATGGGACACTTGTGGAATATAGTGAGTCTTGTCCCCCGATTGCCCCATTGGTAGATTCAAGCCCATCTTCTGACGGTTCCCCTTCAAACAACCTGAAAAGGGTACCTCCAACAAACACAAACGCCCAAATAAAACCTTTCCATTGGAGTCTCCAAGACCCTTTACAACATGAGATCATCTACCAAAAGCATTTAAGTCTCAACCCCCAAAGTCCCACAAACTGGCAACCTGGATGCTCGGATCCTGGGGTTCAGTTGCCACCAGTAAGACAATGGTTGGGTCAATATAACTACCATTATTTACCCAAGGATCTTCGTATCGACCCAACACGTTCTATGACCCAATTTGGGTTGACTGAATTTACCCTAAGGATCTTGACCCAATTTACCCAATTTACCCAATTGACCCAATTTACCCAATTGACCCAATTTACCCAATTACCCCATTTACCCAATTACCCAATTACCCAATTTACCCAATTGACCCAATTTACCCAATTGACCCAATTTACCCAATTTACCCAATTGACCCAATTTACCCAATTGACCCAATTTACCCAATTTACCCTCCTCCAAATTGTTGTTTTCTTGGGCCATTCTTTTCTTAGAGCGTCTGGAACCCCCTGGGCCTTCCGAAACGAGCGCCTGGTCTCCGCTGAGCACCACCGTGATGATGATGGCCAGGCCCGCCCCATGGAGCCATACGCCCGGACGGCACCTGACGAAAAAAGGCCCGGGCGAGGTGCGGGCCGGCAAGTCGCAGGCAAAAACCAAGCATTACCACCAAAACTGTTTGGTAAAAAGAAACATATATCCAGTTTGCTAGAGGTGTTCGAATGTTCCGAAGAAAAAAAGCTCATGGTAAAAACAACCAGTTTTGCCAGTGGCAGAGTTGGATCCTTTTCGTTCCGCCTTCGGACCATACGCTGAACCTCGCCGCCCGCTTCGTCCGTTCGTCGCGCCTGCCGCCCCAGAAGCAGCGGCGCAGCCTGCGCGCCTGGCGCCAGAACTTGGTGCGCAGCTGGGGCTCCCCAGACACCTCCCAAGGCACGAGTGCGACCGTTTGCGTGTTTACCAAAAAAAAGAGAGTACATGTAAGGTCCTTTTTTTGTGCGGTTTTAGAAGGGGAAGTTTGAAAGATTGGGCGTGTGTATATATATATATATGACAGTTATCTGAAATTCCTTGTTCCGGAAACCGCCATCTTCGCGAGAAAGAAAATTTTAACTTTCGCGGACCCCGTCGCGGAACCTTCGCGGGGCTGTTTTCAGAACATTCATCACAAACGTAATACACGAAGTACACTTTCGCAGCCCCAGCTCGAAAGCCGCAGCTTTTCAATACGAAAGTAGCAAAGTAAACTTCCGCAGCCCGGCTTGAATCTCGCGCAACTCTTCAGTACGAAAGTAGTACATGAACTAAACTTCCGCAGCGAAAGTCAAAGCTTTCTAATACAACAGTAGTACACAAAGTAAGCTTCCGCAGCCCCAGCTCGAAAGTCGCAACCTTTCAGTTCCAAAGTAGCACGCGAAGCGCGTTTCCGCAGCTCCAGCTCAGAGGGCCCGTTGGCCTCATGTCCACTGGCGGGGAGGTCCGTCAACTTTCGCGAAACTTTCGCGGATCTTACCCCAAACAGTCGCGAAAATCCGGCTGGAAGTTGCACTCAACTTGACCCGAAAGCTTCAAAACTCCCACAAGCCGGTTTCTGCTGGCTGGGGGTTGCTTTTGCAGCGGCGTATTCTTGCGGCGACCCTCAGGCTGCGCATTTCCTGGCCAACTTTGGTCTGCGGGCATTCTGCCCGCACTGCCGGTAAATACACATGGTTCATCACTCCAGCTTCCTGTTAGCAAGCCACCCTTACACAAAACTTTCGCGAATCAAAGAATAACTTTCGCGACCCCCTTCGCGGAACTTTCGCGGAGGTCAACGCCAAGACCAAAAGGTCTTCCGCTTCATAGCTCACTACAAGGACCTTTCGGACGACTCTCATATATATATATATATCAATTATGTATACGTTCATGGTCCTGGTTTTAAAGCGGGAAAGGAAGACCGTCAAGTCTGCGAGATGATAGTGGGGTGTGTTTTCTATTCAGGATCCAACTCATTTGGGCAGGTTTCCAAGGAAGTCCAAGGCGAAGCCAAGCAATTGTTGTAGGTGCCCCTATCTTTTGTCTCGAGGCCTAAGACTCTCGGGCCCCTAGATTCTTCAGAGGTACCACCACCCTGTTTCTCACTTCCGATCGAGTGGATTGTCCCAAAACAAGTCTAAGCTTTTAAAACTTTTGTTCTACCACTAAAGTGGTCTTGCCAACAAACATAAAGTCCAGGAACAATGGAAGTCAGGTTTAATCATGTTTAATCCCCCCCAAAACGAAAACAAACAAACAAACAAACAAACAGACAGACAGACAAACAGACAGACAGAAAGACAGACAACCAACCAACCAACCAACCAAACAACCAACCAACCAACCAACCAACCAACCAACCAACCAACCAACCAACCAAACAAACAAACAAACAAACAAACAAACCAACAAACAACAACATGATCCTCAAAGGACACACCCCAACCAATCCAAAGGACATACTTGGCTTTAAAACTTGGGCTCAAGCTCCTTGGATTCGGATTTCGATTCAGCTTGCGAGCGCGCTTGCGCCTGGCGGCTGGGGTGGCTGGGGTCGCCCTCCGGCATCAAGCTCTCCAGGTGGAAGTGGTTGGCATAGGACCTCAGGACAACACTGGCAAACTCATTCGCTTTTTGTGGGCGACTGGCAACTCCTCTTTCTCAGGAAACCCTCGGTGGTTTGGATTGGGTGAGCCTTGAATCCCTTGAACACCCCCGCCTGCGGGACCTTAGGACGGCACGGGTGGCTCAAAATTAAAGAGCCGTTACACAGGATTTAGTCTTTGGTGCCATTTCAGGGTATCATTTTGGTACATGACTTTGAGCCACAGCCAATTTTGGGTGGACAGCGGTCCAACGTTTGGCCCCCGCTCCTTCTCACGAAACCCTTGGTGGTTTGGATTGGGGGTGGGCCATGAATCCCTTGAACACGCCCCCCGTTTCTTGTTGTGGGCAAATGGAAAACCGCTCCTGACCCCACTCACAACACTCCCCGTTCGCCAAGAGATAAGCTAGTTGGAACCCCGTACCCCTTGGGCACTTGGATTGTAATTGACGCCTTGCATTTACCTGAAACACAAAAAGGACAACAGCGAAGGGTTACCTACTATAGTCCTCCACTTGCTTAAGCCCCCTGAAAAACAAAAAACAACTATTTCCAGTAGTGATAGATTTCAACATCTTCATTTCAGCAAATGGTAGCGGCGAAACGCCTGTCCGAACACCAATCCCGAGATAAGCCAATTGGAATCCCGAATCCCGGACACCACTTTGAGCACTTGGACTCAAAGAGCCCATGGAAGTGCACACTTTTTTCATGAGGAGAGCAGGCACTATCTTCCATTTGGTCAAGGCCCCAGGGAAAAATATGTCCAGTAGTGATGAATTCGGTTTACCAACAAGGGAAAACAACAAATAATCTTAAGCAAATGGAGGCCATGGGATCGCTGGTGGGAGGGAAATTGTCTGGGCTGGTTAAAGGCAATCCTTTATCTTTGGGGTGTGAAAGGGGTCCGTCTGTGCACTTAATCCTTAATCCCTGGTCTGTGCATTTCCATCTTTCATTTGGTTAAGGCCCCAGGAAAAATAAACATATTTCCAGTAGTGATGAATTCCTTTTACAACCAACAAGGGAAAGTAATATTAACAAAAAAGCTAAATGGAAGTTATCAGCTTTCTTCGGCGCTCTTCCGACTCCCCATCTGCAGAAAATGGGGGGGGGGAGTCCGGGACCCAAGTCCATTCTGGATTTCCAGGGAGGCCATGGAATCCTTCGGGAAGGTCAGCTGACCTAACGAGTTGGCAAAAAGTTAAAGTCCTAACATCCCTTGGCAAAATGAAAGTTAGCTAGGTCCTCCAGTAGAGAGGTTAGAATAAGGGAACCCTTTTTTCTGCAGTCCATTTTAGTAGGGGAACCCTCCCCCAAAAAAGGGTAAAAGGGCACTACTGGGGGACCTAGTTGAGCAAATGAAGGCCATGGTATCGTCAGGTCAGCGGTCAGCCGTTCCTTCAGCTCCGCGGCGGCGTGGTCTGCGTCGCCTCCGTCGCCGCCGTCGCCGCTGACGCGGCGGATCCGTTGGCGCGGATCGCGGGCCGCGAGGCGCGGCCCAGGAACCAGGCCACCAGCAGCCTGGCTCAGCTAGGGGGTTTGGGAAAAAGACGGTGGACATCAGAAACACAAAGAACAAACGGATCCAAGCAAGGAATGAGGAACTTTGCGCCCTTTTTCTGTTTTCTTCGATTGGCACGGTGCTGTTGTCAGCGCCTTTGTCAGAGTTAACCTATCATTTACCGGAAGTTCGGAAGAACTCCCGTCAGGAGAGCTCAAAATTGCAAGAAAAACTTGTCCACCCGCTTGGTATGTAGACCCGACAGGTCCCCGTACACCCAAAAGCACATATTCTGAGACCCCAAGATTTAATCAATACCCTTAGGGCAGAGATATTCCAAAACCCTAAGGATCCACCACACACCCGACCTGAGGTGTTTTCCTTTCTGTTGGGCATTGGATACCAAAACAAAAACAAAGACGGGATACCTTCTTGGAGACAACAATCCACCTGGGTTGCTGAATATGCCCTACTTCGACATGGAACCCATGTAGGATGGTCCCAAGCCCTGGGGTTCAACTCACGTTTCCCATTTGACAGAATGGCCCAAACAGGCCCAATTTGGAGGCTAAAAATCCCGGGGGAAATAATGGTGGCTATACTTGGGATGAACAAATCCTTAGGTGAATGGTGGTTATATCAACCGGGCCCCAGTTGCTTTGCTGGTGGATGAAAGTCCTCAGGGAAACAATCGTGGCTATCTTCACCCTCCGTTGTGGTAACCGGTGGTAACTGAACCCCGGGGAATGGTTGTGAGACAGCGAAGCCGATGCTTTCGAAACTCTCAGAAAGACGCTTGGACCCCTAGGCAGAGTGAGAGATTGATATATTTGCAAGAAGGGCAGGCAGCAAAACGGTCCAAGCCGAAAAAACAACAACAAACACACCAACAAAGGCGTCATACATCTGCGAGGTTGCTTCATTTGAGACCAGCTTAAAAACAGTTAGTCTAGCATATGTCCATTTTTTGCCCAAGGGATCTACCCCAAGCACCTACAATGACCTGACCGCGGTAATTTGCCCTGGACCATACCCCTAGGCCCAAAGCCCCACAAATGGGCAAGTGTCGAAACAAGAGGACCCAAAAAGCGTACCCTAACCCCCCCCCCCCCCCCCCGCAAAAACAAAAAAGCGATTGGCCGAACAGAACGGGGTGCACAGAAAACTATGCTTTATATTCACTACACCCAAAACTATAAATCATTCAATTCTTACTACTGAAACACACACACACACAACTGGAGATTATTAGGGGGGCCCTTGTTTGGGAGTCAAGAACTGGGTGCTTTGATATTTGTAGGGACCTCCACCAAACGGAAAAGAACTTCCAGAAGGTTTGGGGGATTTGTTTGGGAGAGAGACAAAAACACATGGGCACCATCTGTGCCGTTGACCCTACAAAAAAAGCACCGGCACAACCCGTGCTCAGCAAGGAAGGAGGGAATGAACCTGTGGATCCCCGAATACAGGAAGCCACAAATTGGTTGGTTTTTCTCGGGGTCATTTCATTTCTCATTCCCTGCAGCTCTCCTACCGATCGCAAGATAACCGTCCCTCCATCCCTGGTGGTCCTTCCAGTTTATGCCCAACTCCCAGAAGGTCATTCCCATAGGTGTCCTTTTTGGGAAAATATATGACCCTGCTAGTTGATTGAACCACAAGCTAAACCAGGGCCCTCTATGTTTCAACCAAATCCACCAAAATGGACACCTATGGTCATCCCCTGCATCTCTCGCAAGAAACCGTCCGCCCCGTTTTCTCGTCTTCCCCGGTTTTCTCGTTTGGGCGAGGTGCGCCAAGGTGAGGGGCGGCGCCAAGGCCACCGTGCGCTCCGAAGGGCTGCCGAAGGCGTCCCGCAATAAGCGCCGGGCCACCTATCGACATGGGTCAAAATTCACCACCAGGAATTGGACCGCAGGTTTTGGTCCATTCCACTTACTAGGGTTCCATTTAGGGTACCGATTTTTTGGACTCACCAAATGGTCCCACCGAGACGCTCCCGATTTATTTTGGGCCCTCAAACAGCCAGGTTTTGAGACCCCCAAACGCTTGTGGGGTGCCCAATGTAAGGCAAACCACTTTCCTGGGGTGCAGTTACCAGCAGCAAAACAGCGGGGGTTGATATTACCACCATTTACCAGCAAGGCAAACCACAAGGCAAACCACTTCATGTTAACCCCAGATTACTGGGCTGTCCCTCAGATCCCCCGCTAAAAGTGAATAACTTTTAGTGGGTTAAATTTGGAAATCCCCACTAAACACTAAAAGGCTAAAAAGCTAAGGGGATGGCTGGGAACTACCAAGATTCAGCAACCCCATGCCCAGTGGATCCGCGTTTCGCTACTCCCATGTGCTGAACTGACTACTCGATTCTTGCCTGTTGGCTATGAAGGGCTAGTGGAAATACTGCTCTTTCCTTCTTCCTTTTCTTAACCAGGGGACCTACGCTTAGTATCAGCTTCCCTCAAAAAGGGTGGTTTGGCGGTCAACGGGCTCAAAAGGTCGATTCGCTTTGGGCAACCGAGACTCGGTTGCTTTCTGCTCCCCTGCTAAAAGTTTAACTTTTAGTGGTTTAGTGGAAAACCCATTCGTTGGCAAAAAGTAATCCAGTCCTAACATCCCTTGGCAAAATGCACCAAAGGAGACAACTGACTGGAAGCACCGGAGCTTCCGGTTTCCCCCCCAAAAAAAACGCCCTCGGCGGCGTTCAGCCCATGGCCTGCTCGAAGATCCGGCGCCGACGGGGCCGGGTCACCAAATAGCTTCCGGCGCTTGGCAGCTCGTCGGGCCTCAATGCGTGGGCTTTGTTGGTGGCTGGTCTGCGACGTCTGCGAGTGAAGGTCTGCCTATGGGAAAACGCGCAACTGGGCTGTCTGTGTTCTGATCCGGGAAAAGCTTCACTGGGTTAAAGGGAAACCAAGCCCTAAACAAAACCCAAAGGAGCTGGATGGCTGAGATGTTTTTCAAGATCTGGGAGTTTGTCAATGCCTCATTTCTTTAAGGCATCTCTCTCCAGTTGAAGCCTTCTACCTTCTCTGGCCCTTCACCTAGCCTCAGCACCGTGCGTTTTTTTGGGGAAAGCCCCTTCTAGGTCCTCCAGTAGAGAGGTTAGCATAAGGGTATCAACTTTTTTCTGCAGTCGATTTTAGTAGTTTGGAACCCTCCCCCCGAAAAAGACGGTAGACTACGGGCATTGGGGGACCTAGCCGAGGCGCTCCGTCACCTTGTCCTCGGACACCGCGGCCCGGCGACTTTGGCCCCGCAGCGCTAGGCCCAAGGACCGCGTCGGCGCGCTGAGCACCTGGCCGTTTCGTTGCAGTCGTTCCCCAACCCTCCCGAAGCAAAGCGGACTCAGCGCGTCGGAAAAAAGGGAGAAGCCTTTTGGAGAAGACCATTTTTGGGGCAGTCACCCGAAAAAAAGTTGGAAAAAGAAAATTGTGGGTGCCACTGAAGAACTGAGCCTAATGAACGGGGCTCTCAACTACCCGCTTAGTGAGTGGGCAATAATGGTTTATCAAGGGTATCCGAAAGGGGCGAGTATGCGGAAACCCTCGATTGGGGGGTTGAACCCGGAACAAGGGGCTCAGGGTTTGGTTGAAATCCCCGACTTAAAGGAGCGATCGGGTATCGGGTAACCCTCAATTGGTGGTTTGGATTTGGATTTGGGGGCATTTCCCTAAAGACCCTGAGGCCACTTCGACACTAGATGGGAAGCCCCCACTTAAGGCGATGGGGGTAGGGGGTATCAGGGTAATGGTGAAAACCTGAACGGAGACTAACCACGGGCTTTGTGGTAACCACTAAGCTCCCTCCCCCTTTAAATCTGGGGAGGTGGTCGGGGAGAAATTCCCGGCTCCCCGAAGCGGAACCCCAAGGAACGAAAGGCGCTCTCAACCCGCGTGGGCCATACCCATGGTTTCCCAAGGGTCTCCGAAAGCGAGCGGGTATCAGAAAACCCTCGATTCGATTGGGGGGGTTGGATTTGGAAATTGAACACCCCAGTTCCTTTTGAAACATGGGCCTAATGTCCAAACCACCAAACCAAATGACCCATTGGAGAGAAGCTGAGGGTACTTGGTGAGTGGGTAAAATAACTGTGGTTCTAACCCATTGAACGGAGACTTGCAACCATGGCTTTTTGGGGGTAACCATGGTGTTATTGCCCTCTTACCGAAAGGGGCTCTCAACTCCTCAGATGCCAGTAAGCCATGAGAAAAAGAGGCATCCCCCTTTTCTTGGTTGGTTGACTTTAAAGTGGAAACCCCTTCCCCCCAAAAAAAAAATGAACAAAAAACAGGGCACCACTGGGCAACTGGGGCTCATCCCCGTTGCAGCTGCCCGTTTCTTGCGGCGCGAGGTGACAAGGGGTGTGTCTTTTCTTTTTGGATTTGGACCCCCGAAATTGGCGGTCTGTCCTTTGGCGTGTCCTTGTTTTATCTGGATTTGGGTTGGCGGCTTGTCCTTTTGGGATTCCTGAAAAACCAACCACAGCGGAAATTAGCCCTAAGATAACTTGTTTGGGGTTGGATTCTCAGGGGAAACCAAAAGCAAACCACAATTTTGAGAGTTCTCCTACTTAGAGACAAACCCATATGGGTGAGAACAGCAAGTTTAGCTCACTTGCCCTCAGTTGACCTGGAAATACAAGGAGATCACCTTTTGGAATGACGAAACGTGGAAAACAGAGAAACCAGAAGGTTAGACGGTTTGTTTTGCTGGCCGGTGGTTGGACACCTCCGGTCTCGTTTGCTCGTCAACATTTGCTTGTCCCAAGCCGCCAGTTTGGGCAAGCGAGTTGGGCAAGCGAGTTGGGCAAGTGAGTTGGGCAAGTGTGTTGAACAGTTTGGTCTGCCAGAGGGTACCCGCACATGAGTGTTTTCCTTTTGTTTCCCTTTGAAACCAACCGCAGCCCAGTGTTAAATACAAATACCAAGCACCAGGGGGTCCGAATCCCATTTTGAGAACCAATATGCATATGTGTCGAAATCGGGGGACCTGAACAAATGTAATGTTGCTTTTGGTCTCACTTTTGAAACCACCCAACAGGGGATACCAACAAAAAAAAAACATGTCGTTGGCAGCAAATGAAGTAAGTCGCTGGAGCCTCCCAAAGTACTTTCCTTGGGACACAGACTCAAAGAGGTGCTGAGCCTCAAAACATACACCCGGCGATCATTGCCACGCAGGTCGATACGGGTCGATCATCTTCTTGTCGAAGGAAAACCCCTTTTGCCGGGTGAAGGGAAACTCAAGGCCCAGATTTTTATTGTCAAGACCCAGACTAAGAATGGAAAATGAGGAGGAATCACAGGATCCTGAACCCCCGGTAAGAATGAATGCCAGCTCGGGTCACGGGCTAAGGCCAAGGTAATGTGAGATATGCCAAACTAGAACAGCAGAGGTGAAGGACAAATTTTTGGCTGTTTGCATTTGGCTAGGCTATGGGTATCCAAACTGTGCCCGCCAAAGTCACAAACCATCACAAACCTGAGTCTCATGGACAGCGTTGACAACCTGAACTATGCTTGTGCCCGCCACTATACGAAGACAGCAAATAACAACTTGCTGGTGCTCAGCAGGAATGAGGGAATGACCATCCCTTGTGGTTTCCTTTGAGGGGACCCCTGGGTTCATTCCGTCATTCCCTACTGAGCACCAGCAAGAAGAAACTCCACAGTTTCAACAAAACTTTGCTTTTTGACAAGTCGGGATTTCAAAGGCCCGGATAGCAAGGGGTCTGATGTAGTAATTGGTCTGACAAAACAAAGACGCCATACCAGATTCTCAGTACAATTCTCCGCAACTCCGCAGATTAACATGGAAATCCATATGTCAAAAGCCATGCGGGTATATTTTTTGGAGGGGGGGCGCACCAACACGAATTGTTCCTTGTGGTTTCCCTTTAAGCAAAAAAATGGGTTGGACCGATCTGTAGAGATAGCTTTATGTAGAAATCCACCCAAAATGGTTGGTAGAAACCAAAGGCAACCACATGCCACCCATCTGTTGAGAAATCTTCACTTTAAACCCACCAAAGAATGGTTGGTACCAACCCAAACAAAAGAGTTTGACACACCCGCCACCCACGGTCACTTGGCCATGGGTCAAAATCCAAACCGTACCCCCAGTGAACATCCCAATGCAACCACTAAAATAGGAAGCCTAAAATGGGTAATTCACCAACCAAAATGGGATCCCAAAACGGTTTTGACCACCACAGACAATTGAGTATGGGTTTCGTTGGCACCCTTCAGGAGTTCTGCGCTTTTTGGGTTTTGGGACTCTTCGCCAAACAATTCGAGGTGTCGATAGCGCTCGAACAGCTTGACCTTCGCTCGGGCGAGCCTTCACGCTGTCCTCAGCCACCTTGGCAGCCTGACGGGAAAACAAATCCAAAACGCACAATTTTCCCAGCGCTATCGTGGCTGTCCGTTTTCAGATCCCCCGCTAAAAGCTTTGCTTATTTTCTGTTGTGGGTTAAACTTGGACATCCCACTAAACACAGGCGAACAAGCTAAGGAACCGGATGGCTGAGAACCACCAAGCTATGTGACCACTTGTTTGCTGGTTGTAAAGGGAAAACAACAGGACAACCACCATTTTTGGGGGTTCCCCTGACGAGTGCGTGCCATTTGATACACTGGATGGTTGCGAAATTCATAACAGTGGAGGTGTCAATGGGGCGACCTCCTGTGGATGGTTGCGAAATCCGGTCGCACCACGAAATGAAACCACGGTTGAAGCCATATTGCTTGTTCGTATTTACAAGGGAATCAAAATCAGAAACCAGGGTCTCTTACGTGCGAAATGGATTTCGCAACCAACAAGCTAAAAACCAAGATCAACGTGGCAAAAAGTTGCCTAGGGCGTCTTGCCGGGAGGGGGATCATTTTCGAACACCGATTTTGGATCATTTTCGAACACCGATGTCCTGGATCATTTTCGAACACAGAGTGGGTCATTTTCGAGCAGGGGGGCTATCCTGCGGCACCCGTGGGGTGGGGTGGTGGGGCGGGGCAGTTACGTTCGCCTCTTACTGCGTGACCGTGCCACTGCGTACTGGGGCTGGCGGGGGGGGGGTGGGGCAGTTACGTTCGCCTCTTACTGCGTGCCCGTGCAACTGCGCCCTGGGGCTGGGGGAAGGGGGCAACCAGGAGGCTCCGAGTCCCAAGTTACCTTGGCTTTTTGAGCTAAGATGTCCTCGGCGACTTGCGCTCGTTGGCCCCCGTCAAGCTGTGAAAACTCGGCCTAACGGCCGTAATAACTCACGCGGGAAACTGCTCCGTGAAAAAGCCGTGAAAACTCGTGAAATTTCAAGCTCTGAGTTATCTTGTCCTCGCGACACAAAAACATCCTTAGCTCATACGGCCTAAGTAACTTGCGAGTCGGAGCCTCCTGGAATTGCGATCGCCGCTTACTGCGTGGCGGCGCAACTGCGTATTGGGGCTGGGGGTGGGGTGGGGTGGGGCAGTTAAAAGCTTCTTGCTGCGTGACCGTGCGACTGCGTCCTGGGGCTGGGGGGGGATGGGGTGGGGCAGTTACGTTCACCTCTTACTGCGTGACCGTGCGACTGCGCGCTGGTGGTGATGGTGGTGTTGTTGGTAGTGATGATGACGATGTTGATGATGCTGGTCACGATGATGATGATGATGATGATGATGATGATGATGATGATGATGATGATGATGATGATGATGATGTTGACGATGTTGATGATCATGATGATGACGGTGATGATGTTGATGATATGTTGATGGCGATGACTTTGATGATGTCGACGTTGATGTTGATAATGGTGATGATGTTGTTCATGATGATGATGATGATGATGGTGATGTTGATGTTGGCGATGTTGATGATGATGTTGACGATGATGATGTTGTTGATGATGATGATGGTGATGATGGTGGTGATGGTGATGTTGACGGTGTTGTTGTTGATGATGATGATTATGAAGATGTTGGCGGTGATGTTGATGATGGTGATGATGATGTTGGTGTTGATGTTGATGATGGTGATGTTGTTGGTAGTGATCATGACGATGTTGATGATGATGGTGATGGTGATGGTGATGGTGATGGTGATGGTGATGGTGATGATGATGATGATGATGATGATGATGATGATGATGATGATGATGATGATGATGATGTCGTTTTGCGTTCCTTGTGCTTTGCGTTCCCGGGTCTACAGTTGACGATTGTCTCCCAAAAGCACGGCGCCATCCCTGTGCTACACGTGCATCGTGGTGTGTGTTCGTGCGCCCCATCGTGGTGTGCATGGACACTTGGAAAAATGGCCGTGCTGCTGTAAATCACATACACTTGAGCAAAACCGCGTTCAAAAACGAGCCAAAACACGCGTTCAAAAACGAGCCAAAACACGCGTTCAAAAACGACCACCTTTCCCGTCTTGCCTGGGATCTTCGTTGAACTTGTCTTTGAAGCGGCTTGTGTTTGAGAAGTGATTTTGACGTGTCCAGCCCAAAACGCTAAAACAAGTCTTGTCGACGTGGTGTCCAGCCCAAAAAGCTCAAACAAGTCTATCTTGTCAGACATCTTATGCACCCCTCTAAACATCTTATGCACCCCTCTAAACTCTAAAGACAAAACGCCGAACGGCGTGGCTGGCAACTGCCAAAGTAAGACACAACGGCCCGAGCGTGCCCGGCTTCCATCCAGATTTCGAGGCGCCCGTGTAAAGCCCCCCTTCAATGAAGCTAATTGCCAACTGGCCCGAGGACAATTTTCCAAAACAATGAACGGCTACTGTTCCACAAGTTGATTGTGGGTTTCTTCCTTTTGGTTAAGGCCGCAGGGGAAAAAAACAGTAGTGATGCATTGAATAAGTCAACAACGGAAAATTCAAAATATTCTTAAGCAAATGGAGGGTGCCAATTTAATTGGCACCCGTGAGGAGTTCTGCGCTTTTGGGGGACTCTGCTTCGCCCAAAACGGGAGGTGTTGATAGGGCGCCCGAACAGCTTGCCCTTCTGTGGAGGGGCGAAGTCCATTTCGCACCTCGAAATGAAACAATTGGAATGAAGCCAAAACGTTTCTTGGTAGTTGCAGTTGACTTGAATCATTCCGTTGGGTCTGAACGGTGCGAAACAGACAGAATTCGAAATCATCCGCAGCTTGGTTGTGCCACGGTCAAGGTGAGGCTTCGGCCTCCATCCTATTCAACAAGAAGCAACCGATCCAAATGGGGAAACCCTCCTTCACAGCCTTCCAATACTTCCCCAAAACAATGACCCCCACTGCAACAACATAAAACTCACTTTATTCTTTGGGCAGACTTAGACCCTCTGCAACAAGTTATATTGTTTTTGGTTTACAGGATCAAACATTCGAAACCTGAAAGGGCAAAGGAGGAAAAGGTGAGGCACAAGTCTGGCAATGCTCCCATGTGAGTCAGGGGAAATCAAGCTGGAACCCTGAAAATTCCACCTGTTTTGAGGGCTGCAACACGGGCATGGAACTCGGCTGCAACGAACATAGCAAACAGGAAGGTGCTTGAAGACTACTTTCGTCTCGGGGAAGCCTGTTGTCCACTGCTATGTTTAAGGGGTAGCATTTGGAATATGATGGGAAGCACATGGGACAAGGCCTGGCTTTGCTTTGGGCAGCTTAAACTGCTGGGGCGCTACTTTTTCCAGGTCCTTTCGAGAGCTCCCTTGAAGAAAGCGGAGCAGCGGGCTTTGTCTACATCCTGGTAGGCAACTGTTGAGTGTTTCTCGAAATGGGGTTGGTTGCCTGTTTTTGGGGTATGTTTGATGGCTTTAAAGGAAACCAAAAGGAAAACCGAATCCACTTTGGGGGTCCCGCCTCAAAAAACACACACACACACACAAAAAAAAAACAACCCCAAAAAAAACAGGTGGTTTGACAGGAAAACCAAAAGGAAACCACTAAATGTTTGGGGCCCTCTTAATTCTTTGCATGGCTTTGAGTAGATCACGGTGGTACCAGGTTTTGATACTGACTTATTTTGGGTGTTTCGCAGCAGGCAGAGCCCCTTTTGGATGGTTTGAAACGGGAACGTCACAAACACACATTTTGTTTGTGTGTGTGTGAGTGAATATGTTTTTGCTCTTGAGGCTCAGTGCTTTTTTTGGCGTGGTTTTAAGGGGAAATAAGGGTGTTGAAGAGAAACCAAAAGGACACGCCATCATGTTTGTGTCTCCTGACACTTATAAGTTCTCATATTTCCAACGAATTTCGGGCTCGGCCTCGGAGGTGATGCCCTCCACGGTGCCGCCGAGGCCGATGGTGGCGTTGCCCGCGCCAGTGAGCACCGCCCCAGCGATGCGATACACCCCGGCCTCCAGCGATCCGCGTCGTTACGCGGTCGTCGGGGGGGGGGGTCATTGGGGGGGATTCATCGGGGGGGGGGGGTCCGGGAGTCGGGGAGTCGGGGCGGAAAGGAAAACCAGAGACGCCGTATGGTGGAAAAAAGACGAGGAACTGGAGGATGTCCTGAAAATGTGGGGTGCATAAGAGTGTCTGAAAAGGTCCATGAGAAAGTGAATGCAAGCTGACCAAGCGGCACAACACAAGCCAGCGATAACTCTTTTATCCAAGCGTTGTGTTGGTGCCATGGACTCAGCTTCCCTTTCAGGAGTTCCAGGTTGGGTGGCTCTCCGTGCCACCCAATTCAAAATTCCTGGACAGGAAATTTTCCAGTGCGCAGACTGATTGCGCCCCCCGTTGGCCGGGGCCGGAGGCACCCAGGCCTCAGGGAGTCTGCCACCGAAGGGAAGTGAGACGGGAGCTTGGGTCGAGACGCGGAAGAAAGGTAAAACCGACACACAGCTCCGGTTCGGAACCCTGTGCGACGGATCAAAGCCTGCAAAATCAGGGTGGGTTAGTTCGTCCGCCCACTCATTGAACTCACGAGGCACATGATTGACTGCCAGAGAGCATCCATGCCCGTGTAGCAAGAGCACCAGCTCCATCAGGATGGCCACGGTATAGGGCTTCTTGGAACCGAGATTGAGCATGGCCATCACGTTGCCCTGGTTGTCACTGCCTACCGGGAGTCTCACCCTGGAGGCCAGGGGTCCCTGATGCGTGAGGATCATGTTGCAGAGGAAGTGCCGCAATTCGCCGCTTGGGATCCCCATCCTTGAATGCCCAGGGGTGCTGCGCCTGGTGGATCTGCTCGTGGAATCAGAAGACCGCTGACTTCGGTTCCGTCTGGTTGGAGCACCATCCCCCCACAAACCCTGGTCTGAGGCGCTCGCATCACTGCACCCCCACCAGGACGACTTGGGCAGATATGGGGAGTACTGAACGAAGGGCGTGTTGAAGAGGAGGCCAAGCGTGAAGGCCAGCATCCTCACCACCTTGGGCGGCCTCCCCACCGTGGTGGTAGCCATCTTCCACGCCCAGAGCGGTTGGAGCATGGATTTGACGACAGGCCGAAGTCGCCCACTGGATGCGACCCAAAGGCTTCCAATGTCCTTGCCTGGCCTTCAACCATGATCTGCAGGACCTCCATCACCAGGATGTGTTTGTTGGCTGCCATGAGGACCTGTGGGAGGTTGGGATGGACCACAAAGCCTAACCACGTGTTGACCTCCACCAGGTGCGTCTTCTTCCAACTTAGCGGTGTGCCAAGCGCCAACAGCGTGGCCAGCACTGCCGCCGCCAAGTTTACGGCCCCTTTGATGCGTAGCAGCCATAGGAAATCATCCACAAACACGAAGTGCCAGTCTACTTGAGGGAAGAGCGCGTACAAGATTCTGAGCAGAAGGGCCGCCAGGCGTCCCCAGTACGACTGAGCACTGGCCATGCCGTAGGTGCCAACCTTGTTCACCCACCACTCATCCCAGGGAAGCAACCTGGAAACGCCAGTCCTTTTGGAGAACCTTCACTCTCCTGTGGGCCTTGGTGACGTCCGCCTTGAGCAACATCAGGCTCTGGCCACTGCCATCCCCGTGGTTGAGGCTCGCGGTCCTCTATGCCGGGGCCGGAGGCACCCTCAAATGGGGGCCCCTGAGCTGCTGCCGCGTGGAGCCAATGGAGGGCTTGGACTCCATCCATCACTGTGGGAGCCGTTGTGCGCTCCACCGTCTGGTTCCGGATGATGCCATTGGCCCCCCCCACCGATCCATCATAGATGGTGCGGACGTCCGCCAGCATATCATGTCCCAGGCTGCCCCCTTTTCTCCTGATGTCCACCGCCCACATATACTCCGAGATCGTCGTAGGCGTGGATGTAGGCGTCCAGAGCCCCAGCGTCCTCCTTGCCCGCATACAGCAGAATGAAGACCGGCTTGGCAGAGTCCTGTACGGGATGTTGGCGCCACCTTAGTCGCGACCTTAGTCTCTGTGGAACCTCGTTCATGCAAGGGGAAAATGGGGTTGGCCTCCTCCGGGGTTTTTGGGGCCAAAGGCGCCGTCTCTTCAGACCCCCGGCGTGGGGTTGATCCTCCCTGGAGGGATGACTGCTTACGCTCTGTGGGGGGTGGTCCCCTTTTCGGCTGCTGTGGCGTGGTCTTGTCCCTCCTGTTGGGCCCCACTGAGTGCCCTGCCGGATGCCTTGGGGGGGGCGGGGGGAAGGATGCTTCCATCCTTCTGGAGTGCCCTGGCTGGATCCACAGGCAAAAAAGAGAAGTCCCCCCACCTCAAGAAGATGCTTCCGTCCTTGTGGAGTGCCCTGGCTGGACTGAGGCAAGTGCTTGGACGGGGGGGCATCACACACCCAGCCATTCTTCCGAACCGCGCAGTTGTGGGACCGTCCACACAATCCTTGGCACCGAGCATGGAGGTGGTGATCCTTGCAGTACGCCACCCCTTTGCGATTCTTCCAGGCCCAGTGCTCCGGCCATTGTGGGGAGGAGCCATTGGGGGCCTTGCCTCCCTTGCCCTTGGGCTTCGACTGAGCGGGCCCCGAACCCTTTTCCCCTTTTCCAGGGCTTCTCCCACTGGGGCTGCCACTTTGGGAGTCTTGCCTTTGTTCTTGCCCTTCTGAGGTGTTCGGTTGAGGTGCTCATAGACCTCCCGTTGCCAGAAGAGGAAGTCACCCTTGATGCTCTTGAGGGCATCCGAGAGATCGGTCCCTTGGTGCACCATCTCATGGATCTTGCGCCATGCGTTGCGCTCCGCGAAGAGCAAGGTGGTATCACTCGGGGCCGGTTTCCTGCCCGCGATGTCCTCTCCATAGAACCATGCATACCACTCGTCCAGCTCTTCTTTGGTGATCTTCAGATTGCCGAACTGGGGCAGCGCCGCCGTGCACATCAGCAGTGTGGTGCGGAAGGTCATGTGCAGCCTCTCCAGCTGCCTCCTCGAGGTAGGGTGGGACCTCACCTCTTCTTCGTCTTCTCGTTCCCACCCATCAACAGTGACCTTCTTGTGTGTGTTCGCAGGGCGTTCCCCTTCTTCCGGAAGAGCGCTCACTATGTGCTTGGCCGGGATATAGCCCAGTTCACCTTTGGCGATAAGTCGCCATTGCTTCTTGAGGTAGCTGTCACTTCCTTGAAATTCCAATCTCGGTTTCGGGGCTCCATGCGTAGCCACATATGCATCTTCCAGTTGGCGACAATCACAGAGGACCTCCATCGGTGCTTTGACGGGTCCCGCCTGACTTCCTGGGGGGGCCCCTTGGTTGCCACCCCTGACCAACTGCGTCGCCACCCGGACCGCCTGCAGGAGCCGCATGGCCGTAAAGGCCGATGTGCGGGCGTTGAACCCGTTGTGTCCATCCTCGAAATACAAATCACAAGGACCGTTCTCCCTGGCGTCCGCAGGGGTGTTCCAGCGGTCGGCCAAGTCCTCCACTGTGACATATCCGGACTCCCCCAATGCGGCCTGCGCCATCCAAGGGATTTCCTCACCCACCAGGATGGCCACTGGAGGCTTCTGCAACTTCGCCACATTGTCCCTCAAGTCCGCTGGGATCCCCTCCGGAGGTTTGGCTGGCCCAGCCGCCATAAGCCCTACCTTGGTGTGGGTGGGTGGGTTTTAAACTACAGAAAGATCAACAACCAAAGGCAAAGATTGAGCCAAAATGGCTTCGAAGCCATATTGGCCAAGCATTGCCTACACAGTACATGTTTCCACATGTTCCAACATTAAACAAGTGAATGCAAGCTGACCAAACGGCACAACACAAGCCAGCGATAACTCTTTTATCCAAGCGTTGTGTTGGTGTCATGGACTCATCTTCCCTTCAGGAGTTCCAGGTTGGGTGGCTCTCCGTGCCACCCAATTCAAAACTCCTGGACAGGAAATTAACCAGTGTGCAGACTGATTGCGCCATTTCCGAAGGACAGTCTGGCACACCCGCCATTTCCGAAGGATGCCAGTCTGTGCTGAGGGCTTCACCAGGGAGTGTCACAATCTCCGTCTCCGACTGGGTCCACGAAGTTGTGTGTGTTGGAGCCTGAGTCCAAATCCGAGTCAGAGTCTTCCTGCAGGGTAGGAACCTCCGCCGGCTCCAGGAGCCAGCCCTCCGGGAATCCATGCCCTTTGAAGCAACGTTCGCACTTGCCGTAGGTCTCTGGCTCCGTCATAGTCCGTCACGGAAAGATCCTGAATTTTTGAGGCCGCCGGGCGCCAGCCACACCCCACTGCCGTGCCCATGTCGTCCATCAGGTGGATCCTGTATAGGTTGTTGGGCCCCGTGCGCTTGCTCGCCACTACCACCCGAAGCGCTGCCGCCGGATGGGCCGGGAACAGCTCCTTGGCCTTCACCGGATCAGCCGCCTGGAAGTTGTCCAGCGGAGACGAAAAGACTGGCCGACTTTGAAACCAATTGTTTTCCTTTGAGCTTCCCTTACCAACTAAGCCAAGCCACGGGTTGGGGCACCCTAGACCCTAGCCACGGGTTGTCCGTTTTAGACTGGAAACCACCCCAGAGATAAAAGGAAGCCACGCACTGGGGTATATTTCCCAGGTGGTTTGTATTCAGGGGAAAGTCTCAGGGGTTCGCGAGATATCACATGTTGGTGGTTTTAAACACCACCTGTTGGTTGCATTCTCCCATGTTGGTGTGTCTGTCTTGGAGTTACCCCTTTTTGGACGTCCAAATACATTTCCCCAAACCGTCGGATCTCTAAGAATTCTCTGAAGGGACAGGTTTTGGCAGGAACTGTTTTTCGTGTTGGTTGGTTGGTTGATTGGTTGGTTGGTTGGTTGGCTGGTTGGTTGGCTGGTTGGCTGGTTCATTGGTTGGCTGGTTCATTGGTTGGCTGGTTGGTGGGCTGGTGCTTGACTTTAGATGGGTTGATGAAAACTGCCCCCCCCCTCCCAGCATTTTCAAAGATGCTTCCATTCGAGCGCGGTGCCTATACATTAAATTATATGGGATTCATGA